GCCATGGGCTAAGCAACTGTCAAAATTCAGCATGTTTTCAAGGGGTTAGATCTGGTGCGCTAAACGTCTTCTTCATTTTCTATGCAAATGCCTGGAACACGGGCCTTTTCACTCATTCGGAAACGATTCAAGAACGATGCGCTTCGCACAGCTGGCAGCTGGGAGCTGGGAATTATCCACCACCCAAGATGCAGCAGCATATGAACAACTTCGCTTTCTTCATAAATGCCTCAAAGAAGAGCTGACACCACGATGTCTGAGATATAAGTTTCCCGTTAATATGGCTATGGACAGAGAAGTCACAAGACGAGTTGTCAAGCAGATGACGAGAGTTCTTATCGACGACTGCCACAGACAACTATAAAAGTACAAGGATAAGATTGAGGAGGACAGATAAGAGGGTTTCCACATCTTCGGAGATTTTATCACCAAGAATTCGGGCAAGGTGATCTCAACTTTGACACGTCAGAGGCAGGCCAGGAAAAGGGAGGTTTTGGAGCAAATGCTGAATAGGTTGAAACCTGTAGACAATAAACGCTCAAGCTTGGTCCACAACCTTTTATCCAAACCCCTCACCCCGGCACAACTTGCAGTCCTAGAACGTAAAGCAACTTTCAACACAAGAGACGCTTCACCCGCTGAATTTGTCGCCGCCCTTGGTTCAGGCGTTCAACCAACAAAGCCCTAGGAAGATACAAAATACTTAATTCGCCACAAAACGTCATCACTGCTTATGCAAAACGAAAGGCGTGGAACTCTTAGTCGAGAGGAACAGAAGACATTAAAAAGTCTAAAAGCCGATGAAGACATCATCATTCTGCCGGCTGACAAAGGTCGTTCCACAGTGGTGCTCAACAACTCTGATTAACAAACGAAAGCCTAGAGGCTACATGACAATCAAAATTCGTACAAGACATGTCCTGCCAGTGAAATGAACCATTTGCCCACCCAAATGAACAAAGTCTGGCAAAATTCAAAGCAAACGGTGCAATCATGCCCAGCAATTGGTTTTTCATGAAGCCAACCGACGTAGCTCCAGCAAGTTTTTACGATTTGCCGAAAGTCCACAAAGAAAACACACCGCTTAGGCATCCCTACGTACGGTTTAGCAAAGTGGATGTTCACTCCCCTCAAGTGCCTGGCAGTAGGCTCGACAACAACCGTAGCTTCTGCCAAACAGTTCCTTGAACGAGTTAAACATCTGAAGTTAGAACCAAACGAATCCATGGTGTCCTTCGATGTTGTCTCCCTCTTCACCTCCATCCCACAGCAATTAGCGATCGGTGTTGTGGGGCAAATTCTAAGCGTACGCTACGAAGAAATCGACAAACCCCTGAGGTCTGATCATATGCTCGAACTTCTACGACACTGCCTCAAGACCTACTTCATATTTGGTGGACAAATGTCTTAACAAATTAAAGGCACTCCCATGGACTCCCCCCTATCAGGCCTGATAGCTGAAGTGGTACTCCAACGGATAGAACACTTGGTCTGCACCAAGAATCAACCAACGTTTCGGGCTCGTTATTTCGATGACAATTTTGTCATTGTGTAAACAACTGACATTGAACACCTCAAATATTTACTGAGCTCAGTTGATCCAAATATCCAATTCACAATGGAGATGGAAATAAATAACCAACTACCCTTCGTCGATGTCCTGGTGCCCCGGTATTCAACTGGACTACTGCAAACAACAGTATTCAGAAAGGTCACAAGCACAAATTAAGTACTACATTTCAACAGCAATCACCTCATATCCCACAAACGTAGCTGCGTTCGTACTCTTTTCCAAAGAGTTGAAACACATTGCAGCACACAAGCTGAGAGAAGAGCTGAGCTTCATTACCTCCAGGAGCTTTTCCGAGCTAACGGATACCCAAACCCATTTATCAAACAAAGCAAGCACCAAATGAATAGACTACGGCCAGTGAAACAGCAAACTGAAGTCCGGAGGGCCATTCCCTACATAAAAGGGGTCTCCGAAGCGGTCTCATGACTGTTACAACCTGCTGGCGTAGGCATAACCCATTGACCTTAGGCGACAATACGCCGTCGGGTGATGCAACCTAAAGACAGACTGTTTCCTACTGACACTTCTGGGGTTTTCTACAAGATACGTTGCAACGATGGAGACTATAATTACGCTGGAGAAACAGGCCGCAAATTGCAGACCCACCTACACGAGCACAAACTAACGGCTTGGAGACATGACCCAAAGTCACAACTTGCAGCACACATCGCAGAGACTGGCCACGACTTCGATCTTCAATGAGCGACCATCGTAGATCGATGAACCTCAAAAGCCGAAAGACTGAAGCTGGAGGCATAGTACTCAGATGCCAACTCTGTCAACAAGCATCTAGACCTGCCCGCGGCCTACAATGTCTTGCGCCATTATGTAAACAGAAGGCAGAACAAAGCCAAACCAAACATCAGAATGGCAAGCGAAAAGGATCCCACAACGAACTGGCCGGAGAAGAAGGCAAGGTTACTAGGACTCTCTACCGTGGGGACGGAGCACCACACTAATTGCTCTTCATGACCCCCGATTCCACTGACAACTAAATAGCGTACACCACTATAATATTCCCCCAGACTCAACTGACAGCCTATTAGCGTACACCATTATAATTGCCCCCCTCCCGCATCTTTCTTAATTGCTGTTTCTAACGTCTTGACAAACTGATGAATTCTGACAGTTTATTGGCCTATGGCCACTATAATTACTCTTCCTTTCGTTGCTGCTTCTCATCTCTGAAGATAGACTCTTGTAAGAGTTCGAAACCTAAGGAAAATAAACCCACTGATCCGATGCTCGAAACTTCTTCTTTCTTGTCTAAGTATATAATTAAGCGGGAGGACAGGATGCACTATAGTAAGAGATCAATCCAAGGCTCCACGTTTGATTGATAGACTATGTTATAAATAAATAAACTTTATATTTTACATTTATATTGTTTGTATTTTAGGCCCGGAAGGCCTCGTTATTGCAAACTTGGGGCTGTGGTAAAAATAAATACAAAGTGGATAAATGCTGCTCTTTATGAGCAACCAGATGGGCAGCGGGAGTGTTTAGTATGGTAGGCAGATTATTTCATACCCGCCAACATATCTTCATCTTAGAATAATAGTAAACAATCGCTGAAATGTATGGTGAACTAAAGAGGAAGCAGTGAAAAAAACTCCTACCATTAAAGCGGGGGTGGAGTTCAGCGGACCCCACCTTAAAAAACAAAACGTAGGAGAACAAAACTACTTCTATAGAATTAAAGAGGTTGGTTGATAGGATTGTTGTAGTGCAATGAGACAGGACTGTTGAATAGAACGTATGAGGGTTGGAAACGCTTCTTGTGGTTGGATAAATCATATAGCAGGAGAGTCTGCCGTTCACCACCGTAACACCACCCAACTGACTTCATGCTCGACCATTAGGTAGGTGAGACAGGAGGCGGTGATCGCGGACAACCGGGTAAAAAGGATGAGAGTACGGTATATGTCACGTGATCAGCACTGGAACGGCGGAGATGCAACGTCGTGGCCTGCAAAGTCCATCGACGAGCTGGCGAAAATAGCAGAATCACCATGAGCATAACTAGAGACCGTAAAGACTAGAGAGTTCATCGGACCCCCACCTTAAAAAAACGTAGAAGAGACTGCTTCTATAAAAATTAAGAGGTTGGTTGATAGGATTGTTGCGATAAAATGAGACAGGACTGTTCAGGAGTACGTATGAACGTTGGAAACGCTTCTTGTTGTTGCATAAATAATGTAGCAGCAGAGGCTACCATTCACCAACGTAACACCGACCGACTGGCTTCAGGAGGTCATCGCGGACAACAGGGTCGAACGGATGAGGGGACGGTAGAGGTCACGAGACCATCACCGAAACGCCGGCGATGCGACCTTGTGGACTGCAGAGTCCATCGACGAGCTGGCGAAAATAGCAGAACCGTCACGAACATGACTAGCGACCGTGAAGCCCCTCTTCAGGGTTCTAAAAATTAGAAGGGAGAACGGCAATAATGATTGAACAGAGTAGGAGACGAAACACCACTGCAGATCTCACTCAACAGAGGATAAAATAGACATATATGGAAAACAATTTAAGCTAAATAGAACCCGAAGACGCGATCTCTGGAACGATAAATAGAACCGCCTCAAATACCAGGAGGACCCTTTTCAAAGTCCACAAGTTGTGTGTTTGCGAAAGATACGGATAACAAGGACTTTATATCTCCCGAAGTTAAATGTTTACGTAAGTTTGCTTTAACAACTGTTAAGTTAGACGACAGTCTAATCGGGAGAAGATTCGACGGTGTTTTCACGCGTTTCCTCGGGCCGATTCCGGCACCATCTAGTGATAGGCAGGTGCCACTGCTTATGTTACCTGCTTGTCTGGTGAGCAGGATATCCTAACGTTGCTACAATACTAGAAAGAAAATGGCATAGCTTTACTCACTTGTCTTGTATATTGATTCGTTGATGGTTATGCTGATAATATAGTTGGGGTTGACGCATCATGGAACACCTCTGATGTGGCATTCCCTCTCCCACGGCACGGGAATCGCCATAAAAATTGTTCACTATCCCTCTTCTACCCCTTAAACATGATAAGGGGCGGGCTGCAAGCAAAACCACGCTGAGCCTGTCGACATCGCCGCACTCATTGAACCTAGCAATATGCATGTTTTATTGCTCAGATATTGATACCGTATAAGAAACGCTTTGTTTCAGTCACTTTATTAAGGGAAGAAGGCTTTCGCCCTTGAGCTCCCTATTCAAAACCAAAAATCGTAAAGTAGTTCCACCGTAACTGTAGTACATATTGCAAATGTGGGCTTAACATCAGCGATAAGTGTGAGCCAGTTGCAAAGTGCTGCTACTGACACCTTGATCAATTTATCTGTCACAGTTTCTCAGCAAATATGAACAAAGTTTGTGTTTAAAAATGTCAACAGTATCTGAGAGGACCACCTCGTCAGGG